GTGCGAATGCCTGCGTGGGGCATGCTGGGCGCTGCGTGCGGGCAGCACTGCCGCGGCACATCTGCACCCTTCTTGTGCACGTGTCCGAGGTTTGGGGTGGGGGCGGTTGCGGACGTGACCGACCCTTGAACAACCAACCCCGCTAATCCCCAATAATCCGAAATGGCAGGTGCATTGTTTGATGCTGTGAGAGGGGCTTGCTTGCTCCTGCTGGAATTCATCGGCACTCGGCGTTCGTGGGCACGGCGGCAGTTGCCTGCAGTGACGACACAGCAAGAACCCCATATCCGCAGAAGATTCCACTAGTGAGTACTGACAGTGGTTGAGCAGGGGCGGTGGCATTGGAGGATGACGAGTCTGGAGGCAAAAGACAAATAATTTTAGACGCTTCGCGTAACCCCACAGTCCGCGCAGTCAGCCGCTGCTGGATGAGTGGGCCGGCCGGCTCGCGGCGCGTTTAGCTGCTAACTAGGCCGCTGTCGTGACCTGTAGCGCTTCTGACTCCGCTAGCGCCTTCGCTAGCGGACGCGACCGAAAAAAGTAACCCCACAGCAGCTGCTTTGTGAGCTGGCCCAGCCGGCCTGCGGCGCGCCCAGTAGCCAATTAGGCCTGTTTCCGCGCCCCGGACAGCTTCTGACTCCGCCTGCGCCTTCGCTCGCGGACGCGACCGAAAAAAGTAACCCCACCAGCATCCGTAGCCCCTTTGGCTCAAGCCGTCTCGGCTCGAGCACGCCCCTGGTCCAGATCCGCGCCGTGCTCGGCCTGCCGCGATGGCTCCCGCCTGCGCCGCCCTGCGGCGGCGCCAGCGCGTGGCCGCCGCCGCCCGCGGCGGGCCGCCTGGCCTGGGCCCGCCCTTTGCTGCTGCTGATGCTGAGGCCGCCGCCGCCTCCCCCCTGGAGGCCGGCGCGCGGGAGGCGACGGCCAGCGGCGACGGCTCGGCCGCCCCGGCCGTGCCCGCCCCAGCCGTGCCCGCCCCAGCTGCTGCGGACGCTCCTGCCGCTGCCGCCTCCTTCCCAGAGGCTCCTCCGCCATCGTGGCCGTCAGACGCCCGCCAAGGGAGGGGCCTGGGGGCGCGTCGCACCAAGCCAGTGTATTTGCGACGATCAGTCGCGCGCCTGGGGAAGACGACGATGCGAATGGTGCGGCAGCTCTGCCATGTCGCGACCCTGGGGAGGCACCTGATATCACCCGTGCCGCCCCGCTCGATCCTGCTCGGGCCTGGAATGCGCGACGGTGCAGAAACGCATTGATTGCAACAGTGTCCGCGACTGCGCGTCCCCGACCGACCATGGCTCCCGTAACCCCTCACGCAGGATCGTGGCTCCTGGGGGCCGAGCCGAAGTTCGGGGCGCGCCGCGCGACGCTGCGAGCCCCAGCGCCCAGGAGCGACGGCGAGGTTGCCAGCGTGCGACGCTGGCGCGTCTAACTGAAAGCGCCTGGACACCAGGCCCAGCCCCGAGAACCGGCGATCCCCCAGCCCCCTCGCCGCCCGCGGGATGGAACTTGGTGCTCGGCAACATCGGCGGCTTGGCGTGGTCTGACAGGCGGCAGACGACCGACGACGCCGACGCTGACGATGACGCCGGCGCCGATGCCTCCGCTGACGCCGACGCCGACGACGACGACGACTACGCCAACGCCGACGACGCCGACGCCGACGACCCGGGGACACAGCATGCGTTGGAACTGAAGCCGGGGGCGCCGGACGGGCAGGCGAGGGCCGCCACCCGCCCGCGCACCTCCTCGATGGACCCTGCTGCCGGCGGCGGGGCTGCGCGCGAAGCGCTCGACTTCGTTGGCGCCCTGAGCGACGAACCCCCTAGAGGCCGCGGCGCGGGGCAGCGCCGGGTGCAGCCGTGCGGAGGCGGCTCGCCGGCTGCATCCGTCGGCAGGCGTCCAGAGGCCACTTCGGGGGCGCCGCGCCCTCCTCGCGCCCCCCGCCCTCAGGTGCCGATAGCTTTGGCGGAGGCGGTCTGGCAGTGCGTATCCAGCGCTGGCGTGGCCATGCTCTCGGACGTGGGGGGCCGCTTCCAAATGTTTCGTCGTGGCGTGGAGGTTGTGGCTGGGCTCCGCATCGTCTCGCGCGGGCGCCGTGACTTCGTTGTGGAGCTGGCCCCGACGGGGCAGCGGCGGCGCAGCTCCCCTGGCGTGCGCTTGCGGGCGCTGGGCTTGTCGTGGCCGCCCGCCGCTCCACCCTCGGGCCACCTGGTGGGCGGCGCTCACCGGCGCGGCCCTTCTCGTGCTGGTCATCTTCAGTCTCCAGTTTCATGCGCGCGGGGCGCTCGGCGCTGGTCATATCGGTTGGCCTGGTGTCCTACCTGTGCGGCAAGTTTTGTTCCTGTCTGCCCAGCCCGCGGGCGTGTGCCTTCCGCGTCTTCTCGGATGGCCTGCTATTCGCGAGTGGCTTGGGGCGCGGTGCCCTGCGTGGTAGGCTAGTGGTTCGTCTACCTGCGCTGCCTGCGCAATTCGGCCGCTGGGGGGCCTTGTTTCTCTCGCGCCGTTTAGGCTGCGTTCTCTTTCCGCTCGTGGTGCTCGTCCACGCGTCGCGTTCTACCTGTTCGGCAAGGTCGGCTTTTGCCCCCGGGCTACGTGCTCCTCGCATTCGTCGCGCTCTTCGCAGGCATTTCGCGGGCTGGGCGGTACTTCTGTGCTGCCTCCTCCGCCCGCCGTGTTCCTCGTGTACGTGCCGCGCTGAGTGCTTCGCCCCGCGCCGGGCTTTGCTGGCGCCCTGTTGCCTTTGCAGGTTGCAAGCGCTACCCTCCTTGTTCGGCGTCCGACTCGTTTCGTGCGCCCGCGGGCCAAAAAGTCCACCCCAGCAGCCCATCCAGAGACGATGCCCAGAGGATTTGCCTCTATCTGGGAAGTGGGCAACGCGTAGATGAAAGGTCCTTCATGGAGCGCTCTTGGGACGCTCTTGGGCGCTCTTAGGGCCGTCCTCGGGCTCTCTTGGGTCTCTCTTGCGTCTTGGGGGCTTCTTGGCGGTCCCGGGGGCCTCTTGGAGCGTCTCGGGGAACCTCTTGGGGCCTCTTGGGGTCTCTTGGGGGGCTCCTGGGGGCCTCTTGGGCGCCTCTTGGGGCCTGCTTGGCGCCTCTTTGGGCCCTCATGAGGCGCTGTTGGGAGCCTTGGGGGCGCTGTTGGGGCCATTTTGGGGGGCATCGATCAAACGAGAGGGGGGCATCAATTAGCGTTGCCCCTCGGGGGCCCTCAATGTCGCCTCTTCGGGCGTTCTTGGAGCGCTTTTGGGCGCTCTTGGGGCCGTCCTGGGGCTCCCTTGAGCCTCTCTTGGGCCTCCTCGGCCCGTCTTGGAACCATCGGAAGCGAATGGGCGAGAGAGCAACAAGCGTTGATTTCCCACGGGAGCTCCTTGGCCACTTGGAGGTGTCTTGGGGCGGTCTTGGGTCCTCCTGGAGCATCTTGGGAGGCATCTTGAGGCATCTAGGGATATTTTGAACCATTTTGGAGGTCATCTTGGGCTTTCCCGGGCGCTCTTGGAGCCATCTTAATCAGTGCCTCCGCCCAAGAGGCCAACATGTGGCTCAACGTTGGTAGCGTCAATGATTTTGGCATTCTCGCCGAGGCCTCTTGGAGCGTCTTGTGTGCCCCTGGGGGGCCTCCTGGGGCCTCCTGGGGGTCTCTCGGGGGCCTCTTGGGGGCCTCTTGGGGGCCTCTTGCGGGCCTCTTGGGGGCCTCTTAGGGCTTCCTGGGCACCTCTTGGGGCTCTCGTGGGGCGCCCACTATTTCATCGACCAAACAAGGGGGGCTTCAATTAGCGGTGCCCCCCCCCAAGAAACCCAAATGGGGCAACATCCTTTGTAAAGCCGATGATTTTGGCTTCTCGCCTATGCCATTTTCGACGCTTTGAGACCTCGCGACCAGCCCTGTCCAGGTCCAGAGGGGGGGGAGGTAGGGGGAGGGGTCAAACTACCCACCCGCACAAAAAAAAACGTCTAGCGCACTCCCACCCGCCCTCCCAACACATGAGTAATACCCGAGCCTGAGCATGTTCAGCGGTCGTCTTTGGATGGACAGCTACTGGGAGCCAAAGCCGACCCCAGGTGCGCGACGCCTGGGCGAGGTGCGCCACGCGTGCCAGGGGCGCCACGCGCGCCAGGCACCCCTGGGGCCCGAGCGTGCCAGGCACGCCTGGTGCGGCAGACGCGCCACGTGTTCCGAGTGCGCCAGGTGTGCCGCACACTCCAGCCGTGGCAGGTGCGCCACGTTCGGGGCACGTGCAAAGTGCATCAGGTGCGCCTGATAATGTGACAGCACACATCGGAAAACATGTCGGCCCCCGCCAGCGTTGTCGAACACCAGTGCCCGTCGTTGTGTCTGGTGGGCCTGTGCACAGCAGGCCACGCGCCACCACCCCCGCCGTCCCTGTCAAAAACCACTCGACGGTCATCGCGCGATGGCCGCGCATGATCAATATTTAGCCGCGAGGTGCATGTTGTATGGTTTTTTGTCAGGGATGGTAGCCCTGCGCGCAGCAGGGAATGTACTGACACCCCCGCCGTCCCTGTCAAAAATAATACAGAGCGCTCGCGGGCCTCACGAACATGACTCAAGACTTTCCCCAACCTGTACTTCGCATTGTTTCTTGACAAGGATGGTGGGGGGGGCCGCATCGGGTTGGCCGCCCATGCTCCAATTGTGGAGGCGGGGTGCGGTTTGTATTGTTTGTTGACAGGGATGGTGGGGGGCGGGCCCTCATGGGGTCGGCACGGTTCCGGGTTGGCCGCTGGCTGGATGGGGGAAGGGGTGTATATATTCAAAACGATCAGTGATGAACCCCTCCCCGAAGGGGAAGAGGGGCAGATGGAAGACAACACACCTTAGACCACCTAAGCCCTAAAGGGCTGGTGGGATTAAGGGTAGGATGAGGAGGAGGAGGAGGAGGAGGAGGAGGAGGAGGAGGAGGAGGAGGAGGAGGAGGAGGAGGAGGAGGAGGAGTAGGAGGAGGAGGAGGCGGAGGAAGAGGATGAGGATAAGGAGGAGGAGGAGGAGGCTGCGCGCCGACTTCCCTTGCATGCGGCTATCGTGACCCCTCGCCGTGCGGTACCTCTGTGCTTTCTGGTTGCCATGCC